GCTTCGAGGGCCTGAAGGAGTTCCTGCAGCAGACAGACGACCGCTTCCACGAGATGCACGTGGCGCTGGCCCAGAAGGACCAGGAGATTGCCTTCCTGCGCTCCATGCTGGGCAAGCTCTCGGAGAAGATCGACCAGCTGGAAAAGAGCTTGGAGCTCAAGTTTGGTGAGAGCCCGGCCCAGGGGGCGCAGGGGTCCAGCCCCGCCTCTGGGTCCCTGACACCCCCTGCCCTGCCACTCAGACGTCCTGGACGAAAACCAGAGCAAGCTCAGTGAGGACCTCATGGAGTTCCGGAGGGACGCGTCCATGCTGAACGTGAGCGGGCATGGGCCGAGGGCGGGGCTGGATGCCGGGAGGCCTGTTGCCACTCAGGATTAGGTGTCTGTGCTGGGGGGCCCTGCCTGGGGTAGGAAAGGCCTTTGGGACCCCCACCCACCCCATGCTCTGCTCTGCTCTGCTCTTGGCTCCGCAGGATGAGCTGTCCCACATCAACGCGCGGCTGAACATGGGCATCCTTGGATGTGAGTGTGGGCCCCCTGTCGCCTGCCCTGCAGCCCCCAGGGCCCCAGGCCCCTCACGCCGCCCATCTCTCTGCAGCATATGACCCGCAGCAGATCTTCAAGTGCAAGGGGACATTCGTGGGCCACCAGGGCCCCGTCTGGTGTCTCTGCGTCTACTCCATGGGGGACTTGCTCTTCAGCGGCTCCTCCGATAAGACCATCAAGGTGGGTAGGGGCCTGCCCAAGGGCCGAGCACTCTGGAGCAGCAGGGCTGGGCATGGCACACCAACCTCTGCCAGCTCCAGGCCCGCCCCTGGACAAGGCTTTCTCCGCTCCCCCATGCTCACATCATTCGTGCCATAGTGACCCCTGCCACCGGGCCGGCCCTGCTGGGATCTGCCCTGACCCTGTCTCTGCAGGTGTGGGACACGTGTACCACCTACAAGTGCCAGAAGACGCTGGAGGGCCATGACGGCATTGTGCTGGCCCTCTGCATCCAGGGGTGAGTGTGGGTGCACGTGTGTCCACTGAGCACAGGCCCATGTGGACCGTGCTGCATGTGTCCTAGAGTGGCTTTGTCTGCCACTCCTGGGACCCTGAGCAGGGCCGAGTCATGGGTGGCGGTATGTGGGCCTCCGTCTCTGACGCTGTGCATTCCCTGAGCAGAGCCCTGACCCCGGAGAGCCTCAGGTGGCCAAGGACAGGCGGGACCAGAGGGGAGGCAGGCTCCTGCTGGCCAACAGGGCCTGGCCACCGCCTCAGCCCAGAGTGCCCCTTCTAGACTGTGCCTCCTGGTTCGTGTCATGAGACTGTGTGCTGTGGGCGTGAGTGTGTGTGCGTGTGAGATGCTGGCGCATAGGAAGCAACAGCTTGACTGCCAGCAATGCTAACAAGGGTAATTACCTCCCGGCTCAGCTGTCAGACGCTTGCCAGGCAGGCGCGTCCAAGGTCCTCTCACTGAGGTGGAAAGACCGAGGCTGGGCTCAAGGAAGCTGTAGTGGTCCTGGCAACGGCCCAGACCTCTGGTTCCCAGTGGCCAATGCTCGCTTGGCCTGGCCAGGGAGGTGTCAGCAGGGATGCTGGCTTCGCATGCCCTGACACCCTGGCTTTGCTTCCCCAGGTGCAAGCTCTACAGTGGCTCAGCCGACTGCACCATCATTGTGAGTGGGGCCAGCGGGAGGGCGGGGTCAGACCCCACGCATGCCTGAGAACCCCGGGCATGCTGTGCCCCTGGGCCCTGGGCTCGGCAGGGCCTCAGGCTCCATGCCTGTCTCCCGCCAGGTGTGGGACATCCAGAACCTACAGAAGGTGAACACAATCCGGGCCCACGACAACCCGGTGTGCACGCTGGTGTCGTCACACAACATGCTCTTCAGCGGCTCCCTGAAGGCCATCAAGGTCAGGCCGGGTGGGGTGTGTGCATGCCGGCTGCTGATGCGTGCCCCCCGAGCCTGCACTCATGGCCACTCCCACAGGTCTGGGACATCGTGGGCACCGAGCTGAAGCTGAAGAAGGAGCTCACCGGCCTCAACCACTGGGTGCGAGCCCTGGTGGCTGCCCAGAGCTACCTGTACAGTGGCTCCTACCAGACAATCAAGGTGGGCCCCCCCGACCCCGAGCCGGCTCCGTCTGCCCTGCCCCCACCGGGCCGGCACAGGGAGGCCCTCACATGCACCCTGGTCCTGGGTGGGCAGCCTGGCCTGGGACGAAGTGGCCCATGCTTGCCCGTAGATCTGGGACATCCGGACCCTCGACTGCATCCACGTTCTGCAGACGTCTGGCGGCAGCGTCTACTCGATCGCCGTGACCAATCACCACATTGTCTGCGGCACCTATGAGAACCTCATCCACGTAAGAGCGGATGCGGTGGGGGCAGCCTCTGACTCCGGGCCCCTGTCAGCCCCCATCTGTGCCTCTGACCTGCCAGCGCCACCCCCTCCCCAGGTGTGGGACATCGAGTCTAAGGAGCAGGTGCGGACCCTGACGGGCCATGTTGGCACCGTGTATGCCCTGGCAGTCATCTCGACACCAGACCAGACCAAGGTCTTCAGCGCGTCCTATGACCGGTCTCTCAGGGTATGAGCCGGCCGAGCAACTGGAGGGGGCGGCTCGGGGCGGCTCAGGGAGGGTGCCAGGCCTGGGCGGTCCTCATGTCCCCTGTGTCCCCAGGTCTGGAGTATGGACAACATGATCTGCACGCAGACACTGCTGCGTCACCAGGGCAGTGTGACTGCGCTGGCCGTGTCCCGGGGCAGGCTCTTCTCCGGAGCTGTGGACAGCACTGTGAAGGTCAGCGCCATGGCTCAGGCCGCCCACAGGGGCTGCGTGGGGAAGTGGGAGCGAGGGAGGCGGGTGGGAGCTAGCAGCCTGGGCAGTGGGGGGCAGGTATGGATGGCAGCTGGCTTTGGGGCTGCATGGCCATTTCAAGTGGTACTTGAAATGAAGTCTTCCCTCTGCAGGTGTGGACTTGCTAACAGAATCCACTCCGGGTCTCGGCTTCCTCTGGGCCTGACCTAGGCCTAAATCCAGTGGGCCACATGACTGGTCTTGGGGTCTCTGCCTGCCCCGTGGTGACTCAGCCAGGCAGGCAGTGCCCTCCCTGCCCTGTGCCCAGTGAGCTTCCCTCTGCTTGGCCCTGTCACCATCACTGCCAGGACAGTGCCCAGCCCATCTGGGTGCCAGGTACGACGCTCGCCAGGCCCACCTCCATCCTCACTGCAGATGGACTGTGGGCCTTTTTACTCACCTTTTCTACACTGTTTTTAGACTGTATATAGATTTGATTACTTCTTGATTGAAATAAAAGTTGCACAGACTGTGGCTCTGAGTGGGGATGGTTCTCGGGGAGAGGGGACACCTGAGCATGTCGGGGTGCACAGGCACTGGCCAGCAGGAGGGAAGCTGGGCAGGGACCACAGAGGTACCTGTTGACAACCCCACTATGTGGTCGTGTTGGTGACTGCTCCCCCCTGCCAGGAACAGACAAGCCCCCCACTTGCCCCAGTATACACCCCCCCCTCCAAAAAAAAGCCGGGCAGCTCCGTTTTCTGCTGTTTATTGACAGCTGACAGTAGCTCCCTGCCCGGACCCCCCTCCCCACCTGCTAGCCCTGGTCCGGGCCACCCACTGCAGAGGCAAGGCAGATGGCCAGGCCCACCCACCCAGGGACATGTTAGTATGTGACTGCTGGGAGGGGTCCCACACGCCCAGACACTACCTCTGCAGAAGCCCTCCACCCACCCGAGTTACAGTCGCTGGTTTTCGGCGTTTTTTAATTCTCTCTCTTTTTTTAAGAAATGTCAAAGTTGTGCCCAACACACGTGGATCAGCAAACACAACAGAGGAGGCCAGTCAGTACTCTTTTGCGGGTGGGGGGAGAGAGAGAAGGCGAGAACGGCCACACGACACGGCCTCGGACCACGAGCAGAGCGTCTGGGAACGGGAACAGGAGCAGGGCGGGCTGGCTGCGTGGGGCCAGCTGGGGCCCCCAGGAGGGAGGGTTGGGCACACCCTCACACGCACCACACACAGCCTGGCATGCACGCCCTGCACCCACTGCTGACACATCCACGCTGTGCACACAGCTCCCCTGGAACCCAGGGGCACCCTCACACCAGCACCCCAGAGAGAGGTGGAGCCCTGCCCACTGTCTCCACCGCACGGAGGACACAGCCCAGCGGCGAGCAAGGCACATCCTTCAGGTTCTTCAGACGCAGAGAAGTTAGGAGAGAGATCAGAGGGGAGGCCCTGGTGGAACACAGACCCCTCCTCGGACCCCAGCCTCCCATTTGTGCTACTGGGCCAGGAGTCTGGCCACTCTGGGACCGAGGGAGGGACGGATAGACAGATGGCCAGGGCCTCTTGACAGCTTTTGTCTTGAGCTAGACTCCAGCGTCCTTGCAGTTGGTAAATGGTTTTCTATAGAATCAATAATATTTTTTTCTTTCTTTAAATATATATTTGTTAAAGTTATACCTTTTTGTATCTCTGGGGAAATCTGCCTTAGCTCATTCCCAATAAATTAATACTCTTCGATAGCTTATATTCTGGGGGGAGGGGGGGTGCTGTGGGGCAGGGGGCCCAACCCAGCCCCTTGTGCTGCACAGGAGCGGCTGGCGGAGGTCCCCATCGGGCAGTTCTGTGCTGGGCATAGGCCTGTGCTCTGCCCCAGACTGGGGAGGGGGCTGCAGTGGCTGCCCCCCTGCCCGCTGCCCCCCAGGGTGGGCCCAACCCGGGCTTGGAGCGGGGGTTCATGAGCGGCCCCTCCCGCACCACGGCGGGCAAAGCCTGGCGGTGGGGGCAGGCGGCCCAGCGGTTATTGCACGGGGAGGGGCAGCAGCATCTGACCAGAGCCCTTGGGTCCCCCGGCCAGACAGTCATCCGGGCTGGGCCCAGCGGCAGGAGTTGTGCTTGTGCGGGAGCCTCGCGCCCGGCCCCCCGCGCCCCGCCCTCGCGGCCCCGCCCGCCTGCCTGCTCACGCCGCGCCCAGAGGTGCCCATCCTGAGGTAAAGGTCAGCGTGCGGGCCCGACGTGGGCGGCCGCGTCACTCCAGCATGGCGTCCAGCTGGTCGGCCAGGTCGTCAAACATGCTGCCAATGTCGTCCAGGATGCTGCCGGTGCTCTTCTCCTCCGCGGCCGAGGGGCTGCGGGAGGGCGAGGAGTGAGCAGGCGGGCGCGGGGCAGGACGTCTCGCCCCTCCGCGCGAAGGCCGCCCCCTCGCGGACACCATGGCCCGCCCGTGGGGCGCGGCCGGGGTAGGCCACGCCCCCATAACGACTGCCAATCCTCTCCATGTTGGCGGGGCTAGCTCGAAACCACGCCCCCACGACGGCTGCCCCACCCCACGCACGACCAGCTCCCTCCCGCCCATGCTGGCCCCGCCCCGTAGCGTGGGGCAGGGCTAGTTCAAGGCCACGCCCCCACGACCTCCGCCAGCCCCGGCCTCTCCCCATGCACGGCCGCCTCTGGGGACAGGGCCACTCTCAGAGCCCCCGCCCATGCCGGGCCCCGCCCCTCAGTGTGGGGCGGGGCTAGCTCGAAGGCCTCGCCCCTCCGGCGGAACTCGATCCCGCCCCCACAGGGCAGCAGCCTACAGGTGAGCGGCACCCTCGGCCGCGCGCAGGCCGCACCCAGTCCCACACCTACCGCGATCCCTGCGCGTCCTCCTGCCGGATCTTCTCTTCTACGGCTTGCAGCGCCGCCGCCAGGCACGCGCTTGTTTCCTCCAGCTTTTGCCGGGCGCTGTCCCCCGGCGAGGCGCCGTCGGGAGCGGCTGGGGGTCCTGCAGCCGCGGCAGCAGAAGGGCGCGGGCGACGGGCTGGCACTGCCCGACTGCAGCCCCGCCGCGGCCTTGGCCGGCTTAGGCGCCGTGGGCGGTGGTGGCGGCTTGGGAGACACGGGCGGCGGCGTGCCATGCGCACGCTTCACCTCTGCGGGAAGGAGGAGACTTGCACCCGGGTGGGAAGTCGCGCGGCGCGCGCAAATCGCGCGCTGCCCGTCCCGACCCAAGCCCTGCTGAAACACTGCCCAAACGCCCTGCTTCGCAACCGGGAGCGAAAATAACGCCCTCTGCACTGCAGGCCCGGCTTCAGCTCCAGCCCTCTGTGCCCCTCTGCCCTGGGTCTCCCTGAGGCTGTCAGGGGGGGCTTCGCTGTGCACACCTGTTTGGGTCACTGTTTCCAAACCCCGACCCATCCGCCCTCCCCCTCCATCCCCTTCCAGGAGTGGCCTGTTGTATGTAGCCACTGGCCCTTCCTTTGCTTGAATGTCACAGGGCCTTTGCACTTCTGATCTTTCTGTCTGGAAGCCTTTCCCCTCCCTCCCGTGCTGGGGTCACTCTACAGCCATGTCAGAGTCCCCCCTGAGCCCTCCGGCCTCCTGGGCCTGTCCTCCTTCCACAGGTGCTGCTATTTATGCACCTGTGCCTCCTCCACTGAGGACTTACGGACCACAACTGTCCCAACTCTGGGCTGATGGGGTAGTCCGGGGTGGATGGATGAGAGGGTCTGAGGATACCTTCCCACCCCACTCCCCCTGGCCTTCATCAGATCCAAGAAGCAGAAAACCCTGGAGACTGTGGTGTGGGGCCCCTCCCCAGCTGGCGTCCTGCACCTACCTGGGCTGCCAGGACCTGGCAGCGGCACCTTCTTGGAGGCAGGTGTGGGCGAGCCCTGGATCTTGGGCACGGGCTGAGCCAGAACGGGCTTGGGAGAGACAGGTGGCTTGGCCAGCTTCCGGGCATCGCTGTCCGGAGGGGGCAGTGGGGGCAGGTGCATGAGGTCAGAGGGCGGGGGCTCAGCAGGCGGGGGTGGCGGGGGCAGCTCTGGGGGTCCAGCCTGCTCAGAGGCCGGCCGGCGGCGCACAGTGCCCGTTCCATTCTGGTACACAGACAGTGGTGGTGGGGGAGGCTCGGGACCCACCTCCCGCTCTTTGACCTTGGGCCGGCGCTTGACCGTGTCAGACTCAGTTAGGATGAACTTGACGTTCTCCTGCTGGCTCTGCTTGGCCCGGATGCGCCTCTTGAGGGTGGCACTGGCCTCCACCCTGGCTAGGGGCGGGCCCTCTGCACCTGCCTCGCCCTTGGTTGGACCTCGGGGCCGCTGCCGGGCGGCACCCTCTTCCACCAACTGACCATGGTCTGCAGGCCCCGCTGGCTCTCCGGGACTCCGGCGAGCAGTGGCCAGGAGTCCCGTGACGGGCCCGCTCAGCGTGCGGCGCCGGTTCACCACCTCGCCGTCAGGTCCGATGGCCTCCTTGTGCTTCACTGAGGCCAGCACCGTGGCCACCCGGCCTGGCTCTGGGCTGGCAGGGTGAGGCATGGGGTGGCCCTCAGGGGGCCTACGGGCTGCCCGGCCCCCACCCCCGATGGATGACAGCTCAAGCATGGCTGCGATGCTCTTCACACTGCCCGCACTTCCTGTGTCCACGCTGCCAGCCAGGTCACTGGCCCGCCGGCGCTGCGCCCGGACCCCCAGCCGGCTGTCCTCTGCCCCGGCCCCCTCGGTCTCCGCATCTGGCGCCGGCTCATCGGCCAGGTTGGCGCTGGCCATGGCGGAGCTGGAGCGCTTGGGTGGGGGCGGGGGTGGCCCCTTCTTCCGTGGCCGCACGGCGAACGACTGACTGCGATTGACGTTCTTGTCTGCGCCAGCGGGCGCCCGCACAGAATGGCTGCGGCCCACGCGCCGCTGGACTGTGGCATAGGGCCCAGCGGCGGCCGGCACCAGCAGCTCGTCCCGCTCTGGCTCGCTGTCGGACGCCGCGTAGCGATTCAGGCTGTGGGCGCGCTTCTTGGGCCTCCCTGGCTCCGCGTCGGCCTCGGGCGGCAGGCACAGCGTGGGCACCGGTGTGGGCGCGGGCCCAGGGGCAGCCGGCCCGGCCTCACTCTCCACCGGTTGGGGCAGCACGTAGGCAAAGCCGCGGTGAGTGGGCGACTGAGGAAGCGAGCGGGGGGACATGGGTCGCTCTGTGGGCGGCAGCAGCTGAGGGGTGGGCTTCACCTTGGCTGTGGCTGGTGCTGGGCCATGAGGCCCCCCCAGGGCCTGCGGGGAGCTTGGCCGGGGTTTTGTGGGTGTCTGGGGGGGCGTGAAGTGGCTGGCCCCTGGCGGCAGGACCTGCCGAGGCTTGCCCGGCACTGGGGGCACGCTGGCCCGCTTGACACTGTGGCCGTGGCGGCTGGGCCGGGCCTCTTTGTGGGGGGTGCTGGGGGCCGGCCCCTCATCGAGCAGGTACTCCTGGCTCCGTGACATGGGGCTGCTGGGTCCCGGGGGCCCATCGCCCAGCAGCTCCTGGGAGCTGCTCATGTGCCGTGCCCTGCCCCCCAGGCTGGGCTCCTGCCGCCCCGAGGCCCTCGGGGTGGGCGGCAGGTGGTTGGAGGGCTTCTCGGCCGGGGCGGTGGCAGCAGCAGCCCCTTCGGCTGGGCCGGTCAGGGCCGCCTGCAGCTCCCCGCTGAGCTCGCTGTCCTGGAAGGTGGTCATCTTTGGAGACTGGCAGTCAGCCGGGGCAGGCTCGGGTGGGGGTGGCGACTCGATGGCCATCACCTCCAGCGACTGCGGTGCCTTCCGGCGCAGGGGTCCCCCCTCGTACTTAGCGTATTCTGCCTTCTGTAGCTCTGCCAGTTTCCGCACGGCCAGCATCAGCTTCTTCTGGTGGCCTGAGTGGGGGCGGGGCACAGGTCAGGCCCGGGAGGGAGCGAGCGGAGGATGGGGACGCGGCGGGGGCGGGGCCTCACCCAGCTTGGTGATGCCGATCTCCTGCAGGTCCTCCCAGGTGATGTCGGTGATGAAGTCAATGTTCTCGTAGCCATTGTCCACCAGCACTTTGTAGTACTGCGCCAGGCCGATCATAGACAGCCACACGGCCAGGTTCGCCTACGGGGCGGGGGACACAGAGGGCAGCCCGAGCTGGCTGCCCACACCCTGCCTGCCACTCGGAGCTGGTGGAGGGGTGGGCGCCAGGCCAGCCTGGCACAGAGAGACGGAAGGACAAATGGACAGGCCGGAGGGGTCAGCACAGCCTTGACAGCACAGCCAAGGCCAGCTCACACACACGTGCGGACACAGGCAAACACACACAGAGGCGTGACCCTCTCCGCGGGAGACCCTCGGGGGGGTGGGGGAGGAAGGATACCCTCACCTGCCAGGCTGCCAGGCAGGCCAGGCAGCCCTGGGGACAGCACCCACGTGGACACACCTCACGCATCACAGACGCAGACACACAGCACCACCGACCAGCAACGGGTATATGCACAGCTTGCACCCCAGTCATCCACGGCACTGACACTAGCTGAGTCACACTCACACCCTCTCACCATTTCCCCACCATCGTCAGGCATACGTCACACAGCCTTATCACACGCGTGTGCAAGTATCCATGATGGTCTTCACCCAGAACCAGCCAGTGGCCCCCTGACCGGGATCCACCTGTCCACACTCCCAGCTGGACATCACTCATGCACCAACACAGCACACTTGGTCCCCACCTGGGTGTACAGCAGAGTGAAGCCCCCGGGACCTGGGCATGCTGGCTGGGAGGACCCCTGAGCCACAGACTGAGTGGGGCGAGGCAGCGTGGGTGAGCGTGCACCCGCCTGTCCCACCCTGGGGGCCCTTGGTGACCGCAGCATCTCCCTCCTGGACAGGTAGGAGCGTGAGGCCCAGAGAGGTGGCGCGGATGGGACAGGCCCCAGGCCCCCCTCTCCCAGCCTGGAGCCTGTGCCTCCGCAGCGTGCCCGTGCATAACAGCGCTGGCCAAGGCCAGTGTGGCTGTTGGTGGGCACCTGGCATGTGTTCAGTGAATGTGTGCACTCTGCGTGCTCACACACGCTTTCCCCGTGCCTGGGTTTGTGCCTGGGTGCGTGGCAGCCCCCTGTGGCGTCAGGTGGGCATGCGATGGGCAGCACTGTGGGGCGCTGGGTGGTGCCAACATCCCTGAGTGGCGAGCGTGTAGTAGAGACGGGGACGCTCTGGGCTCCAGGCTCCCCTTGCCCAAACAGCCCTCAGAGGAGGTCACCCCAGCCCCTGCCCGGGGAGGCTGGCCCCAGGGCCCCTGACGGACGAACAGAGGCCACCCTCCGCTGTCCTCTCCCTGGACTCCCCAGAAGGCAGGGGAGGGCCGTGGCTGTCTGTCCGTCTGTCGGTCTGCCCCTCCTGGGCCTGGCCACCAGGGTGCAGGGGGCCTTACGGGTTTGTGCTCAGGCAGCCAGTCGGGGAGGCTCAGGCCGCTGATCTCTGCAGTGATCTTCTTCCGGTGGCCGGGCTTGGTGACCCCGATGGCCGTGAGGTCCTAGATGGAGGAGACACCTGTTAGCTGGAGGCTGGGGGCCCATCTCCGAGCCAGCTGGTGGGCAGCCTTCCGGGCAGCTCACCTCAGGGGTCATGCGGCTGATGGTGGGCAGGTCGTAGCCAGCGCTGATGAAATTGGGGGCATAGAGCTGCAGCTGGAACGTGGCAAGCCACTGGCTGACAGCCTCGGCACCCTGGAAGACACAAGGCACCCGCTGCAGGCTTGCCCACCCACCCCCCGGCCAGGCGTGCACCCAGCCACCGCAGCGCCTCCTTCTCTGCTCTGCCGAAGACCACGCGGCGTGAGCTGCCGTCCACTGGGTCGTCCGCAGCCACCAGGCCCCCGTCAGCCTGGCCGGGCGCTCTTCCCTCTGAGTCCAGGGCTCCGCCGTCTCAGCGTCGTCCCATGTGTCGGCTGCCTGCTGTGAGCTCCACGAGGAGGGTCCCGCCGCCATCCACATCACAGGCCTCCCTGACCGCCCCCCTTTCCTGGCCCAGGGCCGCCCTGCCGTGTGGCCCGTGACAGGGACTCTGGGAATGGGGCCTCAGGAGGGGCTGCTGACTGCTGCCCCCCCCCACGCGGGAGGTGGGCTCTGCCCAGGGGGACGCAGGAGGACTCAGCCAGCAGTTCACGCCTGCCCTAGCACGCAGGTGCAAGCACACGGACCTGTCTCACCCCCACACACGCTTCCACTCATCTCGCACCCACACCCTCTACATGCACACACAGGCGCACCCATGCCCAGACCACAGTCACACCAGCCACACACAAACATACCGCCCGCTCACCTCACGCGTGTCACACTTTTAGACACACTGGCTTACACGCACAGCCTGCACAAGAGACAACAACTACGCACGCAGACTGACAGACCAACAGAGGGACGGGCCTGGCCCCTCGAGGGCGCTGGCCGTGCTGTGACCCAGCCAGGCGGGCCTCCCTGGCGCCCGCCCCTCAGCCGCCCTGGCCCTGTACCTTGCCCTCGGACGCCGCCTCCAGCTTCTTGGGTGGCTGCTCCCCATAGCCCGTGCCCATGTGGGCTGCTGGAGGCTGGGCCCGGGTCGCACCTAGGGACGAGAGGGTGAGGAGGGGCGAGGGCTGCCCAGGGGCCACCTCCGCATCTGGCCAGCAGCACCGTCTCCTTGCCCTTACCTGCAGGGCCCTCCGGAGGCTTGACCGGGCTGTCCCCGGGGCTGGAGTCAGATACCGGCTTCTGGGAGAGCACCGTTGCCAGGAGCTGGAATCCAGACAGGCTGGCTGGCCAGTGCTGCTCCAGACCGAGGCACCCCGGTCCTGCCAGCACCCCACCTACCTTGACCCCTTCAGAGCCCGCGTGCAGGGTGTGGCCCCCGCCGCTCCGGCCCCCAGCTGTGCCGCTCAAGCTGCCGCTGCGGTCCCCGCCTGCCGGCAGGACAGAACATGTCAGCAACGCCCTCCCCGCCCCACCGCCTCCCCCCCAAAGCTCCCCACCCACCTGCAAAAGGCTTCCTCAGCACCCAGATCTCCTCGGGGGGCGCAGCGGGCCCTGTGGAGCTGCCTCCCTGGGGTGGACTTGGTTCAGCACCTGCTCGGGGACCTGCAGGCCAAGCACAGCTGCCCTGAGCCCTGGATCGGCTCCAGGGCCTGCACAGAGCAGAGACCAGATACATGTGCATGCACGCACACACACACGTGCGTACACACATGTGTGCACACAAGCACACAGAGACACACGCACACAGAGACACACGCATGTGTACACACACATGCACACAGGCTGGGAGGCTCAGTGCCAGCTCCTCCTGCCCCGGCTGTCTCCAAGGAGCTGAGAGACCCTCGGAAGACCCCTCCCAATCCTGGACACTGGTGAGCAGGACAGCATGGCAGAGCCGGGTGCAGGCCAGCTATTCTGCCTGTGGTCCTGTATGTGGGGGTGGAGGTTCACAGGAAGAGTACAAACCCCTCTGATGGGGAGCAGGGGGAGGAGGTCCCCAGGAGCCTGGGGCCAGGGCACTTGATGACCTTGGGTGGACTGACCACACCTCCGAGCTGGCTGACCCCCTCTGCCCTCTCACTGGCCTGTCAACTTCCACGTCCTCTGCACAGGATCAGCCCTCCACACCCATACCCCATCTGAAGCCCTTCCACAGCCCTGTGGCCTCCTCCTACACCCCCCACTCTGTCACCAAGTCAGCCACCCTGGGCTCCACTGGACCCTCGCGCACGTCACACTCTGTCCTGCCTGAGCGCCTCTGCACATGTGGTTCCCACTGCCCCGAAGGCACCGCCTGCAGCCTGCCCCCTCCCAATTCTCAGGGCCTTGTCCGCCCTCTGTCTGAAGCGGGCGTCCATCTGCAATCTCTGGGTCACTGGCCAGCACATTTCCCTCCATGCTAACTTCACTGTCCTGTGCTCCCCCCACCCCCCTGCCCCAGGGCAAGCTCCTTGAGAGCAGGAATGACGGCCATTTGGGTAACCGTCTATTCCTCGAGCCTGGCATGCAGTGTCTGCTGAATCAATGGAGGATCGGTTCCAGGGACACGGATAAGAGCTGGCAGGACAAACTCTGGACCTCACACCCAGTGATGGCGAGAGCTCGCAGTCCTGGCCCACCCCGAAACATACCATACACATGCTCCCGTCTGGCCATGAGCCCCTGGCCTGCGCTGGACTTGCCTGCTCGCTTGACGATGGCCTCGCCCAGGGAAGAGGGGAAGTAGCCCACACGGTCATTGCCTGTCCTGTTGTCATGGATACAGCCCTTCCAGCGGCCATCTGGGTGCTGCTCAAGGACCTGGCCAGATAAGGTGAGGGGAGCACACTCGGGGAGGACTCCCCTCTGGGTCAAGGGAATGGGTGGCCTGGCCCCCCCAGTTCTTGCCAGGTGTTGGGGGCAGCATCCTGGGCCCCTCTCAGCCCTGCTCCAGCAGCCCCAGACCGTCCTTACTGTGATGATGTCCCCAGCTTTCACGTTGAGGCTGGTCAGGTCGTAGTTGTTGCAGTAATCCTTGGTCGCCCGGACCTGCAGGGCCGCCGAGGCCTCTGGGGACACAGGAGGTGGCAGACCCCCCCAGTCCTGTGAGCCGGCCCGGCCCCGGCCCCGCCCCAGTCCCCCAGCCCCACCCCAGCCCACCTCGCAGCAGCTGCTTGATCTCCTTGCTGGCCTGGGAGGTGGTGAACTGATGCACGATGTCCAGGGCAGTCTGGCTGTACGTGTTCCTCACATGGGCGTTGATCCCGTTCTGCGCAGGCCAGACAGCAAGGCCTGTCAGGAGCCCCCTCCATCCTCACCCGACCCCCGCACCCCCCACCCTGGCCCCCGACTCACATCCAGCAGCAGCCGAACCACCTCCGTCTTCCCGCAGAGCGCGGCCTCGTGCAGGGCGGTGCCAGACTTGGTCTGGCGGTTAATGTCGATGCCGGCTTGGAGCAGCAGTCTGGCGGGGTGGCAGGGGGAGCAGGCAGGGCCTTGCACAGGAGTCCAGTGGCCCGGCACCCCGAGTTGGCCTCCGACTCCTGGAGGCCCAGAATGAGCCAACCCGACCCCACCTCCCCGACCACCTCCCTGACAGGATGGCCTCCGCCAGTGATGGGGAACTTGCGGGAGTTCCCCTCCCGATGCGAACCCTTCACACTCTGGTCTCGTCTCATCCCAGGACAAGCAGTGCTGTGATATGTACTTTGAGCATGGGGAAATGAAGGCTCAGAGATGCCGAGAGTCACCACAGGGCCACCCGGCAGGCGGCACAGGCTGGGAGGCTGTAGAAGCCCACTCCCCAGCCCCCACTGGGGCATCCTTTATGGGAGCGGCTGGAGGCATCCCTCGTACCAGAGGCCTGACCACATCCCCATGGCTCCCCGGCTGCTCCGGTCTTACTGCCAAGCCAGGAGTAGGCAGCCCGAGGCAGGGAGCCCCTCACCCCTCCCCCAGCCCAGCCATACCTGATGATGTCGATGTGGCCATTCTTGGCCGCCAGGTGCAGGGGGCTGGTGCCGTTGGGGTCGGTGGTGTCCCCCGGCCGGGGCTCCAGCAAGGCCGTACACATGTTGCTGCTCAGAAGCAGCTGGACCACCTGGAGGGAGGGGTGAAGAGTAGGGGGCCCAAGAAATGGGGTGGGGGCCCCCTAGGAGAAGAAGACGGAATGGATGGAGTCACGCTCAGCTCCCTGGGGAGACTTACCCCGACGCGGCCAAACTCACAGGCCAGGTCCAGGGGCGTCTTGCCCGAGTTGTCCACCATGCAGGGGTTGGACTGGTGCTGCAGCAGCATTTCAGACTGCAGGGACCACAAGGTGCGGTCAGGCCTGGGGCGTCCATCAGGCTCCTGCTGCCCCAGGTGCCCTGTTGCCCCCAGGGGCAGTCCTTACCACATCATAGTGACCGTGCTGGGCCGCCAAGTGCAGGGGGATGTGGCCCTCATCGGATGGGATGTTCACTGCCGAGCCCGCCTTCAGTACCAGCTTCATGGGCTCCTTCCGGCCCTGCCAGGCCGCGTAGTGCAGCGGCCGCATGCCTGGAGGGGTGGACGGGGGCAGTTGGGAGCTGGAGCTAGACCCTGACCCTGACCCCAACCCTGACCTCCAGGACGCTGACCCCACGAGAAGCTGCCTTGACCCAGACTGGGACCCCGGGTTGACCTCAGTTGAGGGACCATCAAGGCCTCCAGGGTGCCCAAGCTGTGACTTGAACCCCCTTGCCCCTGGCTCCAAGGTCCCTGGCCTTTACTGTCCACCTCCATCACTAAATTACAAGCTCCAAGAGGACAGTGGTTTTTATCCACTTCGCTCACTGCCGTGTCCTGCCTGTCAGGCCTTGCCTTTGTTGTCCTTGATGTCCACAGCAGCCTGGGCCTCCAGCAGCAAGGTGATGAGCTCCGTGTTGCCATTCAGGGCTGCATGGTGCAGGGCTGAAAAGCTGCAATGGGTGATGGACACATGCGGGCAGGTGCCAGACACCCCGCCTGCCCTAGGAGTCCCTGACCCCCACACCAGACTGATGCCTCCCTGGGCTGAGCACTCACCCATCAGGGTCTTGGAAATTGACATTGATCTTCTTGGTGGAGCCCAGGAGCTCTGCGGGAGTGGGGGGGGGGGAGGGAGGAGACACGGTGAAGGAGGCCCACCTGGGGCCCAACCCCCTCTAGGCAGCCCGAGAGCGAGAGCGGCTGGCTAGCTCCCTGGCAGGCTCAGAGCCAAAGCTATCTAGGTCTTCAGTCTAGAAGCGTTCATTCATTCAGCTCTGTTCCCTGCACCCAGCACCAGGTACCAGCTTTCAGACCTCGGTTTTTCACTGAACTGAAATGCTGGGAGGTTTCCCTGGACCAGGACCTGTCTGAGAGGCCAGGGCTGGGCACCCTCACAGGCACACACATGTGCACACGAAGCCCTCCCTGGGGACGCTGGCTGAGCCCCTGCCAATGGTGGGAGGGAGAGAGCCAGCCCAATCTGTCTCTCAGAAGGGCCCAGATGGGCCCGGGGGCGGCCTGTCACACCCGGAAACAGGGGTATCTCTGGGGGAGAGCCACACTTCCAGGGTGTAGCCTCCCCCAGCTCCAGCCCCAGGCCTGGCCAGTGTGGATGCGCCCCATCCAGCCAGGCGGGAAGGGGAGGCCGACAAGTGGGCCCGTGCCTCTGGGCAGCCACGCGATAGTGACCCCCTCGTCAGCCTGCCTGAAGCCCACGGGACTCCGGCCCTCCCTCAGACACCCCGGTCTCCTCCAAAGTCTTGGCCTCCACCGGGCGCCGGCCAGAGGAGCAGAGCCCACCGATGCCCTCTCCACGGGCTCAGGTCCAGCCGGACTGGGGCCAATCCCCTGCCTGTCTGGGCTGTGGTTACATAACCCATTTGTGGGTCAGTCACTCTGTGAGGGAGGGGCTGGCAGGACAGAAGCCCCTTTGTCCAGGCCCAGGACAGGGATGGGGGTGGGAGCCCGAGGGAGTCGGGGCCCAGAGGGGCTGCTATAGGGCCCACTTGGTGACCCACGGCAGCCCCAGCCGCCCCGGCCTCGGTTCTCAGCTGCTGGACGTGGGGTGTGAGGCCACTGGTGGCCCACAAGGCCCGCAGAGTCGGACGGGCCTCTGCCCCTTACTAGCCCTGTGGCCTGGGCTGTGAGCTCGGAAGGTCTAAGGGGCCGGCCTCGCAGGTCCAAAGGCTCAGCACGCGGCTGGCGTTGCTGACACAGCTCCACAGGGATCCTCCCCACCCTCCCCAGGGAGGGGCTTCTCCAGCCAATAGCCCAAGAGCAGAGGCTCCAGGACCAGAGGCGTCTCCACCCCCGCCCCTGACCCTGCTCAGACATTTGGCTGATGCAGAAGTCTAAGTTTGCACCAGTGCAGCCATTGGTAGTCCAGCGCAAAACCTTGGAGGCAGCCCTGGGTCCTTATATCTTCATCAGTAAATCCTGTGGGCTCTGCCTTTAGAACCATTTAAAGCATGCCTGGAATCCTCTCCTTTCTCGGTACCAACATCCCCACCCTGGACCAGGCCAGCATCTCTCCAAGGACCACAGCCACCTCCTCTCCACTGGCCTCCCTGCTTCCAGCCTGCCTCCTCCAGTCCACCCGCTGAGGTCGGTGGGACCCCCTGAGGGCATGCGTATGATCCCGCTGCTCCCGTTTCACTGGGGTTAGAGGCCAAAGCCGGACAATGGCCCAGCACGACACACTTCCCCCTCACCCCTGCTCCAGTCACATGAGCCTCCTTGATGGCATTCTGATGCACCGACCTCTGCCATCACAGGGCCTTTGCACAAGCTGTGTATGTGGAGGGGGCAGGCATTATTCCTTCTTCCCATGACTCTTCATATTCTCCAGGCCTTTATCCAAGACTTGCTTGTCAAAGCCTCCTCACTCCCATCTACAATGGTAATTATCTGGGAGTCCAGTGGTTAGGATTCAGCACTTCCACTGCCGGGGCCCAGGTCCAATCCTTGGTTGGGGAACTAAGAATTCTGCAAGCCATGAGGCATGGTCAGATAATTTTAAAAATTGTTTTTGTTCAGTTGCTCAGTCATGTCCTACTCTTTGGGAGCCCATGGACTGCAGCACGCCAGGCTTCCCTGTCCTTCACTATCTCCTGAAATTTGCTGAAACTCATATCCTTTGAGTCGGTGATGTCATCCAACCATCTCATCCTCTGTCACCCCCTTCTCCTCCTGCCCTCAGTCTTTCCCAGCATCAGGGTCTTTTCCAGTGAGTAAATAAAATGGTAACCCCCAATCCCATCCCGTGTCTGTTGTCCTTTTCTCTTTAACTCCCATACCACCATTTATCTTGTTTACTATCTACCTCCATCAGTACATTACAAGCTCCAAGAGAAACAATGGTTTTTATCTACTTTGCTCACTGCTGTATCTTTTCAGCTAACAGTGCCGGGCACACACGACGCGCTCAATGCCTGGTGACTGAACTGAACCCTCATCCCACATACTCCGTCTACCTGCCAGGCTCGGTTTCATGAGTGAGACCCGTGTGGCCACTCAAGAGGAGCCCCGCGCTGGGTGGACACTCTGCTGCCGCCGTCTAGAGACTGTTGTCTTTTAGACAAGGCAGCCCCCCTTTTTGTCCTGCACTGGGCTCTGTGAACTATGCGGCCGGGCTGGCCACAGTCCCTGCTGCGAAGTTGAACGGAGCCCAAGTGTTGGTGGCCCACTAGGGACCCCCGACTGTGCTCAGGGCTGCTCTCAGCACCTTCCACGCCAGAAGGCTCTGCCTGACTCTAACGTTTGCTGCCCCCGCGCCCTTAGTTTCAGTGTAGCCAGGCTCAGCTTCTCCCCAGAGCCTCCCTGGGCCAGCTCGCTTTCCCTCCCGCAGCGGGAACCCAGGCAGCTGCTCCAGGAGCTCCGAGCAGAGGTGGAGGCCCGGCCACACCTGCAGGTGCTGAGGTCTCAGAGGGGCTGGAGGTCAAGGCTCAGAAGTGACACACGCTGGTGGGGAGGGGGCGTCTGCATCCAGAAGGGGACCACCCCTCACAGGAGAAGGGGGCTTCTTGTAAGGTCATCTCCCCCCCGCCCCCGGGCTGGTCTCAAAGTGCTGGAACTGGATGTAGGCGGGCTTGAGGCCTTGGAGCACCCCTAGTTCCCATGGGGACACTGGGCACTCAGAAAGCCCCCACAGCAGCAGCCTGCCTGGGGCTGGGGGCTGCACCTTGCGGAGACAGGTGTCCTGAGTGAAGCTGGTGCAGAGCAGGGCTGCCCGGGCCTGAGGGCGGTGGGCACAGAGTGGAAAGTCCCAGGAGCTCCTCGCCCTTCCCACGAGGCACCGAGGCCTTTGGCTCACCGCCAGTCATGGGACACGGACCTGGCCCCTGACCCCCAGAACTTGGGCTCTCCTGTGGCCCCCACCTCTAAGTGTTCTCCTGCGACCACCCCAACCTGGCAGACCAGCTGCAAACTCCAGCTGCAGAGGCCTCGGGGGAGACAACCCCAGACCCTCTTCCACCCTGTCCTCCTCCATCCCTCTGCCAGGGGCTCCTCCAACCACGGGCGCCGTGCACAGGCCACATCCGTGCCCTCCAGGGACAGGCCTCGACCTCCTCTGCTCCCGCGTCAGCCTGGCTGCGCCCCGCAGCCTCCAGAGGGCGAGGCCCCCCCATACCCCCAGAGCAGGCAGCACCGAGCCAGGCGCTGGAGGGCAGCTCTCGGTGGGCTAAGGTTAGTGAGTGAGCGAGCGCGGGAGCATGGCCTGTGGTCTCCAGTGAATCTGAAGAAAGGGGAGGCGGGGCCGGAGGAAGGACAGGGCGTCCCCGCACCCCAGAAGGCCAGCCCCCACCCCAGTAGTTTCCCTTCCGAGCAGAGCAGTCTCTTCTTCCCTCCAAGGACGACTGCTAAGGGTGGCAGCCTGTGCATGTGAGCAGAGGCTCCCTTCAGGCGGGATGGGGGAGCCGCCAGAGCCCAGGGTGACGCTGGGGGGGTGGGTGGGCTGAAGTGAAGGTGTCAGCGCTGGGAAGGGACAGCGGAAGTGAGGGTCGTGGGAACACCTCTAGAGGTGGGGGGCCCCAGGGAGCACAGCTGGATGCCCCCCACCCCATGGCCCAAACTCCAGCTGTACTTTGCTGAATCAAAATACATCTTACTCCAAAGCAGGCCAGTGTTGCCATGACAACCGAGCTAATTCATGGAGGGATTTCTCCATCTGATTTATTACACCCGCCCCTGTGAGTCAGAGAGCCCAGATTCAGGGGCCAGGGCAGGTGTCTCTCCTACCCGGAGACCAAGCCACGCAGGGACGAATGCAGAGATCCAGGTGGGGACACAGGTGGAGGTAAAAGCCCCACACATCCCCCTGGGGAGCAGAGTGGAAGAGAGGAGGAGTTCCCAAACCTGATGCCCCCACTTCCTCCACGCACCCACCCTGGGCTGTCTAGGAAATGGCCATGGTGGCTCAGACAGTAAAGAATCTGCCTACAATGCGGGAGAGCCAGGTTCAATCCCTGGGCTGGGAGGATCCCCTGGAGAGGGGAATGGCAACTCATCCCAGTATTCTTGCCCGGAGAATCCCATAGACAGAGAAGCCTGGGGAGCTACAGTCCATGGAGTGGCAAAGACTGAGTGACCAACACTATCACTACTAGCCATTCCTGAGTACACACAAAGGCCTGGGCTGCCTGCACACTCTCACTGTTCTTAAAACAAGGCTGTGGGGCAGGGACCACCGAGGGTCCCATCCCACAGATGAGGAGACCCAAGCTGTCTGCACCCAAGGTCGGCTGGCCACTAGGTGGAAGTCTCTGCCTTGCTTTCACCTCTCATCCCTGCTCCTGCTTTTGAGGCTCAGCTGAGGCGGCTCTGCCTGAAAGCCCTGCCTTTCTGGGCCCCGAGGCCCTGAAGCCGGTCCTCAGTGGCAGCCCGTCCCTGGGCCCTGGGTAGGGAAGGCATGGCTGGCCTGTGCCTGTGAAGCACACAAGTGCAGCTCTCTAACTGCATAGGGCAGGCGAGGAGCGGCCAGGCGGGGCTGCGGTGGGAGGGGTCCTCCTGGGGCCCAAGGAGCTACCCCCAACTGCCCCAGGGGCCGTCTCAGTTCTCAGCATCTTGCCTGGAGAGAGGGGAGGGGCTTCCCCCGCTTACACACCGCCCCAGGAGACAGCACGGGGCGTGGGCCACCCAGAGCCCACCTGCGACCC